AATTATTAGATATCAAAATATTTTAAATTTTCTAGAAACAATTTTATACTTATAGTTTAAGGAACATAATTTTTAATTTTTAATAAAATTTTTAATCAAATATTTAATTATATTTTTATTTATAACTTGATAAATTATTAAAAAATCTTAAATTTAATAAGTTTAATTTTTATGATATTTTTTATTTAATAAAATATTTAAAATAAAATCTTTAATTCATAAAATATATATTATTAAATTAGAAAATTTAAAGTTAATTTATATAATATAAATTATTTAAAAAATATTTTATTATTTGTGAACTTATTTTACTAAATTTAAGATTAATATAAATTTATATAAATCTTCATTTAATTTTTAGATAATCATTTAAAGTGTAAGTGTAAAATACTTTTTAGTTAGAGCTATACTTTAATGTTAATTAATTTTGATATTAATAAAATTAATTATGTTAATTTGATATTTATTATAAATTATTAATAAAATAATTATGTCTGTAAAAATACAATTTGTCTGTTAAAATATAATTTGATTAGTAATTTAACAATTTGTATTGAAATATAGTTAGAGCTAAAATTATACATGTTATATCTGTTTCATATTTAATTTATTAAATAAATATTATATTACAGGTGATCATAATTTATAATTTATTTTTATGATATTATTTAAATATGATTGTTCAACTAATTTAAATACTTCAGATACTTTAATAGTTTCTGTTACTTAATTTATATTAAATTAATTAAAGAAAATTATAAATACTTTTAATATTTTAATTTTTAATAATAGTTATAAAAAATTTTTAATTTAAATTTTTAATATGAATTTTATTATTCTTTTAATAAAAATATAATTTCTAATTATTTATTCTTTATATTAATAAATTTTTTTATTTAATAAATATTAAAAATTTATTAATTTCAATAATTATTTTTTTGATATCAACCTTTTATAATAAAATTTAAATTTATATTATAAAATAAATATTGATTATAATAGAATTAAAATATTATATATATATATATATATATATATATATATATAAAAAAAAGTAGATTAAGAAAAGACTATATTATATAAAATTGATATTATAAGCTAAATATTAAATTTTTTATAAGATATTCTTTAAAATTTTAAAATATTAAAATAAATATAAAATTATGATTTTAGCATTTATAAATGATAAATTATAAGTTTTAAAATAACTAATTATTAATTATTATCTATTATATTTGTTTTTAATTTTTAAAATATTAAATTTATATATAAAATTTGATATAATAAGATTTTAAGATTATAAATGATTTTTCTATATTAAAATAAATTTTTATTATAAATTTAATTTAATAATTTTAAAAAAAAAAATATTTTTATTTTAAATTAAATATGTATTTTTAATATAAATCACAATTTTTTAATTAAATTTTTTATAATCTTTTATAAATAAATAAATAATAAATAATGTAAAATTATTAGAAGTTATATAATATCAATTTATAATAATAAATTTTATTTATTAAAAAGAAATTATATTTTTTTTATTTATTTTTATAATATAAAAATATCAAATTATATTTAATACTTATTAAGTAGTTATTTATTTTAATAATTATAAAAAATATAATAGCATACTTATCCTTTTTTTAGAAATTTTACTTAATTAATTTCTTTTTTATAATATATTTTTATATTTAATAATATACTTATTCATAAATTTTAAAATTTTTTATAAAGATATACTGATATTAAATAATTTAATAATTACTATTTTAAAAAAATTAAATATATATATAAATTTAAATTAGTTTTTAATTAAAATTAAAATTTATTTTAGTAACAGATTTTAATTTATTAAAATTATTACATTAAGAAGTATTCAAATATGATATTAGTTTTATAATAATCTTAAAATTTATTAAGTAATATAAATACAAAATTGGTATTATTAATTAAATATCATATATTCTTTAAGATTTAAAATAAATATAAGTTTATATTTTAGTATTTGCATTTACCAAAATATAAGCATTTAAGTTTAAAAAATTAAGTTTTGCATTTATTTATGTAAATTATTATATTTGAATTATTTTTACTTTTATTTATTATTATTATTATTATTTTATTTAATAAATATTTAAGTATAACTTTATCCAGTTGTATATATATGTTTAATTAAATAAATATTTAATTATTAAAATTATTATAATATTCTTAATATTTTTTAATGACAAATCAATTCATCAATTTGTAGAAAATATTTTGACTTTTGATCACGGGTTTTACTAATAGCAAAAAGAACTTGACTTAATGAATTTTTTGAATTTGTATTAATGCTTGCTTTCAGTCAAAAAACTTTGTAAAATAATATTTATTTATGTTTGTTTATTTTTTTCTAAATATGATTTTGCTTAATAACATTATAATTATCATATTCTTTGAGAATTTCGATTATGAAAAACGCTCTTTCACAGATTTGATAATTATATTTTTTTTTTGAAACGGTAGTCAAAATTTTGTATTAAAAAGTATTAGAGATTTGAAATTACACAGATAAAAAAATTTCTTGATTACAGATACTGTATATGGTTTATATTATACACTATATATATGTGTGAATTAATATTTCGAGCGAAAGCTAGTTTCGCCCCAAATTTCCCTAATTAAAGTATTTGGATAATGGGCGAGATCTGGGAGAAATGTTTCAGATTTACAGAAAATAGTTTGCGAAACACCAATTTAAAATGTGTGAAGTTGCTACAACATTTCAATCAATATGAAAGATATATTTTCTAACACAATGAACAAGGCTAATAATATGATAATTAGTATTAACAAAGAATTGTTGTTCAAAAAGACAATATTCAAGGGCGTTGCACATGTGATGCATGTGGGACATTACAATTGTCGTCGGTTGCACACGTTTGAAGGTCAGCTAATCTTTACATTCAATTTTCATACCTTTCGGTTTGAAAACAATATGTCAAATTACTTTCCATTAGAAACAACAAATAATGATATTTTTGTAGCCGAGAAAAATTATACTAAGGGAGTATCTGAGTTTCATGAGTATGACCACAATAAAGATGTGACAAAGACAACGACACCTCAATTCAATAATTCCAACGAAGGATGTGCGGTTTCTTATTCAAACTTCGTGACAGAATCAATAGACATTAAGGATTCGGAAAAAAGTTCCTCTGTAGTTTCCATCATTCCAACAATGATATGCACGAATGATGAAAAAAAATTACCATTCTCTGAGCAAAATAATAACGGAGAGAATGCGAGAGAAACTTCTGATGAAACCTTACATTACTCGCACCATTGTGAATATGTGAAGCAAAAGCCGAACAAGCTAGTTCGTGCCGATTTAGTTAAAGGTCAGAAGAGTATGGAGCTTAATAGGAAAGTTTATATATAAATAATTTGATCTTTTGATTTTAAATTATTGAAAATATTTAAAATTTATTGACATTGACATTTCAATTTTTTTAGCTTTGCAAATGATTCACAAATCATGAAAATCATGAACAAACACTGCATTTCTTACAACAAGTATGGTAAGTTAAATTGATATCTTTATGATTCACAAAAGGTTAGGTTTATATTATTTATTTATGTAGGTCGTTGTAATGACGGTGATCGATGCCCCTATAAGCACGATCAAAATCGCGTTGGGGTTTGTAAAAAATGGCTCAAAGGAAATGAATGTTCTTCCGTCAAAAAATGCTTTCGTCAACATGTATTATCGGCCCATGTGATTCCACATTGCAGTCATTTTGCAAAGAGAATGTGCCTTAAAGGTAGTGAATGCCGTTATACACATGTAAAAGTCAGCAAGGGAGCAAGTTATTGTAAAGAATTCATGGTAGGTGGCTTCTGTGAGGAAGGTGAAATTTGCCGAAGAAAGCACGAATGGGGGAAGAATATAAACGCCCAAGGATGAAAAAAAAAAAAAAAAAAAAAGATTGAAATTCTTTTTTTTTAAAAAAATTTTGACTAATTTTTTGATTAATTTATCTTTTTGACGGTGAATAAAAAAAAAAAAAAAAAAATCGGTTCCTTGAAATGGTTAGTTGACTATCCATTGTTATATGTTTTGAAGAATAAAATGGCCCTGAATTCCAAACTGTTGGTTCTACATTATATTTAAATGATTTTCCGTGTGACACTTTACTATGTATCAATTGGTATTTGGTAATTTCTTTTAATACAAACTTTTATGTATAAATATTAACTTTTATGGTTCGATAAAAAAATCACAATCTCGATATAGTAAGTTAACTAAATGCAAAGTAATGCAATTCACGAAATAAATATCACACCTCACATTTTTTACATTTTTTCATTTTCTCATTCTTTACATTTTTACATTTTTATTTTTTTATATATATAATTTTTTTTTTTTTTTTTTTTATTGTTTTAAAGTCCTTTTCTACTTCCCTATTTTGTAAGTAAAAATGGCAGCTACTCAAAGGACGGGTAAAACCGAAGAACTTGGTTCGAAGGAACTTTCAACAAAGCCTAAATTATCAAGCAAGGTTTCCGTCCTTTCTGCGGCACGTATGTTTGAAACCATGGCCGGTCCTTCAGTAAAGGACAAATCAGCAAAGTTTGAAACCAAGGGAACATTTAGGAACAATGAAAATTCAATAGGGGCAAAATTTGAACGTAAAAATCTTAATAAAGGATTTGAGTTAAATTCAAATAAAAATAATAATAATAATAATCCTTCAACCTTTGAAAAAAAACAACTAAAAGATACTAATACTAGTATTACTGCCTCTGAAAAAAAAATCACTCCCTCTTCAACTTCCTCCTTCTCCTCCTCTCCTTCCACTTTCTCCTCCACCGCCTCCACCTCCTCCATTATATCCGAGAAGAAAAGTCTTTCTCCAACCACCGATAAAATTAATTCCATTTATACTGATCCAAATAGAAAAGATTCTGCCATCGACCTGACGAAAAATTCAGAACAACCTCAACCTACTAGTACTGAAGCATTATTGGCTCGTATCTCTGCTTTAGAGGATGATATAGTAACTGTGGGAAAAGAATTGGAAGAGAAACAAGCTACCACAGCCCCTTCACAGAATAGAGAAAGTCAAAGTCGACATGAAGCTGAAGATGATAATATCAAAAGATCATCTTCTGACACAAAATCTTCAAGACAATTTTCAGACGTTTTTTCAGATGCAAGTACTACTACTACTTTTACAACTCATAATTCTACTTCTTCTGTTTCCCGTTCACGGGTACAATCATGTGAAGCAAATCGTAGTGTAGATAGTACGGAAATTCAATCGGAGAGGAAATATAATGATGAGGACCTAGAGAAAGCAAGACAAGAATTAACAAGTGAACATTGGAGTGAATTAGAGAGAACAAGAAAAGAACTTTCTGAACAATTTAAAGAGAATGAAGAAAGGATTCGTATGGAATTAATTAAATCACATAGATATCAAAATGAGGAGCTAAAGAAAGCATGTGATGCTGAAAGAGATAGAATAATTATAGAAAAAGAGAAATTAAATGTATTAAAAGAGCAAGCAGAAAGTGAATTGATAGAATTTAAAGAATACACTGAGAATGAAAAACGAACTATGAAGCAAGATCATGAGAGGGAAAAGGAATTATTAAGGGAAGAACATGAAAAACAGTTGAAAAATAATCTTTCAAAATTACAAACCGAAGCCGAATCTAAACTTAATGAAATAATAAAACAAAACGAAATTGAAAAAAATACGCTTCTTCAAGAACTCAGAAATAAATTAGATAATAAAGAAAATGCAGTTTTGGCGTCAGAAGAATTACATGGGAAACTAAACGATGCTAATAATGAATTGTCTAATTTACGTCTCAAATTATCCGATCGGGATACAGAGGTTAACAAAGTTAAAGAAAGTTATGAGAAATTGGAAAGTTTAATATCGGATAAAGAGGAGCGAATTCAAAAACTGGAGAGCCAACTTGAGAATATTCGAACAGAAGGAGACGAGAAGATTAAACAGAAAAATAAAGAGCTTCTTGAATTGGAAGATTGTCATAAAAAAGACCGCGAAGAGGCGATTGCTACATTACGTGCAGAATTGACATCATCACATGAGCAAGCTCTTGGGAAACTTCAAGAACAGCTTGTTAAAGTAAATGAAGAACGCGAGCGTTTCATTAAGCAAGAAATGGAAAAGGGCCGCTCTAATGAATTCGAATCAATACAATCACAATTGAAGGAAGAACATGAAGCAAACATGGCCGAATTAATGAATAAGAATGAAACTCTTGAACGTAAACTTTTGGAAAGTGTTAAAACTATAGAAGATACCAGTCGTCGCCTTGAATCTGAGGAAAAATCTTATTCGGAACTCAACACGAAATATAAGCAGTATGTTCAAAAAAATCTGCAATTGTCGGATGACCTCATAAAATTACGCAAAGAAGTTGAAGAACTTGAACAAAAGAATGAGACATTGGAAAAAGAAAAGGAGAAACTTAATTCAGAAACACAACAATTAACTTCAGAATTAGATAACGCTAAAGAAGAATCGCAGCGTTTACATGAGGAGGGTTTAACGATGAAAGGTGAAGTTGAGGAATTAAAGGGAGAACGTAACAAGTTAGCAGGAGTTATATCGATTATGAAGGAAAAATGGGAGATTCAATATAGAAATTTAAGGGAAGAATTTCAACAATCACAAATGGAAAGGGTTACTTTACTTTCCCAAGTAACTGATTTACAGGATGAAAATCTTAACTTAAAATCATTTTCTAGAGATTCTGAACAAATATCCGAAGAGTTACAAATTACCAAGAAGCAAAATGAAGCTTTCTCAAAAGCTTTGGAAGAACAACAAAGTGGAATGCAAACTTTAATGAAGGATATGGCTTCTGCTCGTGAGGAATGGCGACAAAAAGAAGCAGACATTATTTCTCATTACGAGTCTATTGAATCTGAATTAAAGATGAAAGAATCTGAGTTGGATATCCTACGTTCCGAAAAACAAGCCATGGAACAAAAAATTATTGCCGTTGGTAGGGAAAAGGAGGCAGCAGTAATTAAAGTACGCGAATTGGAGATTGAAAAGACAAAAATTGAAGGCGATTTGTCAAACATATCGAAAGAAAATAATGGAAGATCAAGTCAGTTTGCAGATGCCAAGAAACAGTTGGATAGGTTAAATGAACAAGTTAAAGATTCAATTCGAATAAAAGAAGAAGATGAATCACGTATTCTTCATCTTATTAAGGAAAAGGAAGAATTAGAAAATAAATTATCCAATGGTTCTGGTGTACAAAGTGATGATGAACTTACAGCTAAGCTAAATAAGATTGAAATTGAATACGAGAAGAAAGAAACGGAAATATGTCAATTGGAAACAGTCAAAAAACAATTGGAAACGCGTATCGAAAGTCTTGAAGCATCAACATATCGTCTTACAACAAAATTGAAAGCAGCCGAATTAGATGCTGAACAGACTAGACAAAGTGCAGATAATCAAGTACGTGAGCTTCAAAGCCGCCTTTCTAATTCGCAGGTTGAAATTGAACAACTACATGGTCAGGTTACAGAACTTCGACAAGAACTGATCGAAAAGGAACATATTGTAGAAACGCATAAAAGAAGTTCTGCAAATAAGGATGATGCAAATGCAAATGCTCGACTTTCTAATGCTACAACGACTATTACGACTCTTAATAAACAGATAGAGACTTATAAAATATCAAAAGAAGTTCTTGAAGGGCAAATCGCGTCACTTAATAAGAAACTTTCGGAAGCTGATGATGAGCAGCACAATGCTATACAGAAAGCCGAGAAATCAATAGCGCAAGCTGAAAAAACCATATCCGGGCTTCGTAATAAACTTGATATAATTCAAAAAGAACATGCTCAAGAAAAAGATCAACTTATCCACAGTCATCAAAATGCAATTAATTCTCTTAAAAAGCAATATGAAGAAGATTTTGAAAAACTTTCCAAGACAATGCAAATGCGTATAGAGTCCTTAGAAAAGCGACAGATCAATGATGTTGGAAAAGTTGATTCAAGCAAATTAATTGATTTGGAAAGGAAACTTAAAGAATTGGAGAATACATTGAAAGAATCGCAAGTAGATTGTGATCGAATAACAGAAAAACTTGCACTAGCACAAGAGGATCTTATGGAAGCAATAAATGATAAACAACAATTGTCACGTGAAAAACGAGATGTTGACAAAAGGCTCAGGACTTTGGAATCGCAATATCAAGAGGTAATAAAATTAACAATTATCATTGTTTGTATCGTGAGTTTGATTTGCTGTATTTTAACGTATTTTATTTATTAACAGGTCTTGCAAAAGAACATGGACTTGACTATTCAATTGAGTTCGAAATAATTGGTTTTTATCTCGTGTTTTAGAGCGAATTTTTCACTTTCATTTTATCTTTACCGTACCGTCTGTGATGGTTTATAGAATTTAAATCATTATCATTTCATTTCATTTTTTTTTTTTTTTTTTTTTGTAATTATTCCTCTTGTAAAAATATTTGAGTTTGCATAATACGTCTTTTAATTGGGATTCTTGTTCATTTATCATTCATTATTTAAATGTTTTCTTTTTTTAATTTCATTCGTTTCTTAATCTGACACGACACATTAATTTATAGTGTACAATAAGAGCAAAAATATTTTAATATATATATATATATATATATTGTATAAATTTATACTTTAAAAAATAATTCATAGATACTAATATATAATATAAATCATACTTTAATTAAAATTTTTCATAGACAAACTTATTAAATAAAATAAAATAAATTAAATAAATGAATTTTTTTTTTTTTTTACATTTAAATTAATTATTCAATTCCCCACACCAAATCTTCAACTTCTTCCCAATTTTTACATTCTCTAACATTAGGAAAATGACCAATTAAATACCTCACAGCTCCTTCAAATTCCCATAATAAAGTGTACCACATTGCTCTTCTTTTAAACATTCTTAACGATATTTTTTGTTTACCTCCGATTTCATTATTATATTTTTCTATGAATCCCTTCAACAATAATTTTGAACATCTTAATACTGAAATATAAATTGGTATCAAATCGAACAATGGATCACCTCCATATACTTGCGAATCACCAAAATCGATGATCGTCGTAGGTGTCCAATAACCCAATAGTTCATCGTCATCATCATCTTCTGAACAATTATTACGATGCTCTTGATTATTATGGTCAAGGTTGTTTGAAGAATCCGCGGAGGGTAAAACGACACCTAATATATTTTCGGCATTCAAATCACCATGTAAGATACCTGCTAGTGGTCCATCAAGTTCCGAATTATGCAATTCATACGATGAAGATGGTAAATATGAGGAAATTTGTGAAATTAAATGAAGTGGAAATATCAACCATCCAGAATGAACTTTAGATGCCCGTGATATTTGAAGTTGAATAAATTGATGAAATGGATGTTCAGGCGTTGTTCCCTTCGTATTTTCCGGAATACAAGCGGATGGTAAACTATGTAAAGCTAATAAGGATAAAATAGTCAATTAAAAATTCATAATTTATAAAGCAAAATGATGTATTTTCTTGAAATCTCGATGTACCATGAAGTATTTCAACAGAAAAGTCGATCACTTCATTACTCGGACTCGAACCACCTCCAGCAATAACTTCAGCGAGACTTATTCCACCATCAGTGGCGGATTCAAATACAATGTAAGGCCATCTATAATTTCTTTCGATGCTTTCATTAAATAAATAACCTGACCCTAAAATTTTCGAGAAATATCCTTTATATCTCTCGGGAATATGATCAGTAATTATAGAATAAGTCTGAATTTCGGCGTTAAAAGTTTTGACTCCATTAAATATATGAGAATAAAATTTTATTATTGCTGTAGGACTTCGGAAAACCTGGTAGATTTTATAAATAAAAAGTTTAGTATAAAATTCATAGTGTCAAGTTAGATTTCATTCCTTACAAATGAATATACATACTGGATTCTGTCCGTGTGAAATAACTTCTATCGGAACATTTTTATCTAACGAACATCTTTCCAATATATCAATTACTCTAGGATGCCAATAATTTATATCTCGGAATCCCTCAAGAAAATCCATTCTGGAAGTAAATCCTTCCTCTTTTATAACCGGATCATCAGTTGTATCTGAAAATATAGAGACTTTACGCGCAATAAATGGTTCAAGATAAGGGTAAGTTTTTAGCATTTTTTCATGAAAAGTTTCCCACATCTGATTAAAAATAAAGCAAATTATATTCTATTACTGAATATAAATGAAATGAACATTTAAATAACTATATGAAATTGTTTTACATGCATTATGTTTGTCTTTTTCACTAATCAAAGATTCACAAACATGTTCAAGGTTATGAATATTGACAAAGTTTTGAGTAACTGCAACGGTATCGTCAATATTAATGACCTAGAGCAGGATCATAATTAATAAATTAGACTTTGAGATGAGAGAAAAAACAAAGTCGATATTCAAAAAATTATTACCATATGCCACCAACCACTATAAATCGTCAACCAAGAAAAGAAGACTGTTAATATAAAGAAAGGCCTAAGTCATCTACTTACGCGCAATACTTGTTATATCTTTTGTGATTTACCTTGGAATGAAAATTGTTTGCCTACAAAAAACAAAAACAATAATGTCGATAATTAAATTTAAGAATAAAAAAGGTTGACTTTGCGTTTCTAATAATGAATCTTACTAATTACCCGGGTTCTTGTATAATCTCGAGTGGTCGCATTTCCGGTGGTAATTGAGGATAAACTTCAAGGAACCAAAATAAAGAAGTTGCTGAATCCTTTGCATTATCAAGTATATCAGTATTATATAGTGACTGATGACCGTTATTACCAGTTCGAGATACGCTTAACCCTAAAATATATATAAATTAAGAATATTTAGAAAAAAATAGTCGTATAGGAGAAGTGATTATTTTGGTTCTCTTAAAAATTAATCTTTACCTGGAGGAAAAATGTGTGGTGGATACCTAACGATTCAGAATAATTCAAGAAAGAGTTAAATTATAAACATATATCTCTGTCAATTGAAATTTAAACATACAATGCCCAACGTTTCCTTCCTTCGATGGTTATATTCCAAGCTAACCAATAAAAAAATTTGAAAAGCAAGGATTAATTGGTTACATACATAACGAGAAAATTTGAATTCAATAGATATTAACCTGATGTTCCAGCGGGATCAACATGCCAAGACGCACCTAAAAAAGACGAATACAACAAAACTTGCATTATTTGCACCGTAAGAATCAAGCGAGATTAGAAGAAAAGAATCAAATCTCACCTGACCTTGCAGGACCGATTATAACCCATCGATATGGCGGTCTTTTATCCGATAAAACAGAAAAAAAATCATCTTTGAAATACTTTGGCACTTCGTATGCATCGGCCATTTCCGGCTCTTTATCAGCGAAGCTAGCATCAAAAATATATAAAGGTGTTTCGTCATGTTGTAAACGTATATAGCGTACATATGATTCTAAGGACATCGGTAGATATCGATGTCTTCCTCCTCTTTCATTAGCTACTCGGAATATGGTCTTACCATACTATAAAAAATATTAATGTAAAGTCACGTGAAACACAAATCAAATTCAAAAAAAAAATACGATACAAACCTTGTTTAATAGGGGTTCCCATTTCCAATCAGTCCAAGCTTTCCACTTTTCAACACCATCATTTCTTATCAAAGCTGGAACTGACTGTGCATCATATAAATTCTCAAACTTTTCTTTTGTCAATTCCATTCCATTTTCTATAGAAATTTTCGAGTCTGATGAAGAATTTTGTGTCGGTACAAATTTGCCAAGAAACATATTACAACGACACCATTTTGCATATAGGTAATGACTCGTAATTTCTACATATCGCAATAAGTAATTGGTTGATTCAAAAACATGACAGAGTAATAATTTTAATGAAGTAATTCAATCATCATGATATTTACCAGGAAATTGTAAAAGTCGACATAATGGATGTGCCCAAACCTTTGCCTCGTCAATTTCGTTCAACATGGTTGGGAATAAATAAGTAAGCAACCAAGTTCCACGATACATAAAATTTTGCATGACTCCATGATCGCTACCCCATTTATCCAAGCAATGCTTTTTCCAGAGCTGATCATCGCGCGAAAATACGTAAAAAAAACGGGATACTCGAGCACAATGAGCTAAATCCTTATTAATTATGAAATAAAAATAAATTTAGTCAAGTAAAATACTATATATATTTTTTTTTTTTTTTTTGAAATCTTAAAACATACAAACCTGATCGGATAATTTGGTCAAAACATGTTCTGAAAATATATCATCCGGAATAACATGAAGGGTTCCCAAACCTCTGTTTCGAGGTTCATTCAATTGCGTCATGATTGATAATTACAACTCAACCTATAATTTTAAGGAAATTTTATTGAAAAAACTTATCATACTATTTCAATTAATAAGGTTTTAGGAAAATAAAAAATTAAACTTGCCAAAATGAAGTCCAAATATTAATTATATCACAATCTGATATTATTCAGGAAAAAAAAAAAAAAAAAAATTAAAGCGAAAATTTACGTTATCTATTAAATAAAATAAAAAAATTTTCGTTCTTCAGAAAGGTAGTTGTTCACATATCACAACATCCTCGCATATTGACATTAGGCGTATGTCGCGTAAGATGGTATTCGAACGCAAATTACCGAATATGGATTCATCATACAAAACATTATTATCGAACGAAAAATTATAAAAATTAACTTACTATCTTAAAAGAATGACAAATGTGTGATTATCAAAAATTGTAATTTATGTGAAACTAAAAATAAATGATCGGTTATAAATAGGAAACGAAAATTATTTGCTGCAGAAAATTCATACTTGTTCAGAAAAAGGGAAAATCATAAGCATTCATTCATTATTTTTTTAATTTAATGGTTCTTTGAGTAGATTATGGCTTCAAAGAATCGTTTTATTACCTTTGGTTTTTTGGTCTTCATTTTGATCCTGGTGCTTTTACCATATGCGAAAGCTTGGGATAATGGTATGTATTTTGAAATTTTTATTGAGGTTTGTCGATGGTTGATAATCCTGAAAAACTTTGAAAAAGGGTTTACTAAATATTTAATATTTTTAGAGGATCACGAAATATTTACACTAGTGGACGAATTAGAAGCTTCTGAGGGAAAGGATGTAAACTTTTACTCCTGGCTTGGTTTAGAACCTACTGCCTCAGAAAAAGATATTAATAGAGCATATAGAAAATTGTCACTTGCATTACAGTAAGAATGTTTACCTTTATAATAAAAAATTATTAAACTTGCTGATTTCTAATCTAATATTTTCATCTCTTTTTCATAGTCCTGACAAAAATCGTGACGCCAACAGCAAAGAAAGGTTTTCTCGATTAGGCGCCATTACGACAATTTTACGTAATCCAGATATGAGGGAACGGTACAATTTCTTCTTAAAAAATGGAGTGCCAAAGTGGCGTGGTACTGGATATTATTATAAACGATATAGACCCGGACTAGGAACCGTTTTGACAGGATTATTAGTATTAGGTTCATTTTTGCATTATATGGTAATGTGGGTAAATTACTATCAAGAAAAAAGAAGAATTCGTTATTATAAACAAGAATCGAGAGAAATTGCTTGGGGAAAAAGAATGAAAAAGCAACAAACGAGAAAGCGTGTTTATGTAAATGATTTAGCATTTGTAGTCGAAGGCGATTATGTTGCTTTATTAGCTGAAGATGGAATAGAATACGTGTTAGATGAAGAAGAAATTGATCAACCTAAAGTAACTGATGTGATGATTTTTATGTTGCCCAAGTGGTTCTATGGAAATATTGCAAATACATTTACCAAAAAAAAATCTTCCAATACTACCGATTCTTTAAAAACACCCGAGAAAGAAGTTATTAGCAGCGATAGTGAACGTAGGGAGGATGGTGATAAAAAGATAAAAAAGCGTAAAGGTGGAAAAAAAACAAAATACTAGATTAACATTCTGCAGTTAAAAAAAAAATAGATTTTATTTACTTCAAAAAAAAAGATTTTTCTTTGTAAAAAATTCTTATAGAAAGTTGATAATATATCTTTCACTAATAAACGTATTCGTTAATTCTTTTCATAAATTAAAAATCATTACGCTTTTGTACACAACTCCAAATTGAATATAAAATGCTTAAAAGAACATAGTATCCCGAAAGATTGGTCTCTCTAATATTCTAAAGTTCTCATCTTTTCCTATTCTCCAAATATATTCATTCAAATCCATTAAACTAATTTCATTTCGTCCTGATTCGTTGGCTCGGGATACGATGATTTCGCAAGCGTCTACAACAGCAGCGCGCAAACGAGTTGCATCTTGAATATTTGTGATCTCTTCTCCATTCAAATATTGTTTAAGCAATGGTGTTACATTGATGATCTTAAAATGATATAGAATTGTCGACATAACATTATCAGCACATACAGTAAGGTCAGATATGTCAGAGAAATCAAAGTTATTTGTTTGGGTATTAGAATGGAAATGACGATAAAGATTAGCGGCGAGAAGTTGCGCTTTTTTAAATATGTACACCTCTATATTGTAAGAGAATGAACTGATGAATAAATCTATACAGACTTAATTAAAGAATTTTAACTTAAATCTTACGCTCTCCGTCAACTTTTGTCATGTCTTGAAAAGCTGGAAAAGCTCGAACTAACTGGAAGAATCAAAAGTGAGTCATACATTTTACATATCAAAGTGAAAGATGAGTTTGTTTCATGAAAATCACAAACCTTCTCAACAAATTTGGATGCTTTAGACTTTTCATCTGGACTCACTGGTTTAGCAGCTTCCAATATGAATTCCGCAAAACTTTTGAAACCAAATTCTTCTAGTCTTCTTCCGGTATCATTTAGCGTCCATGTGATTAATTCCGCTAAACGTCGTGATTTCGAATGCTCTGAAATTTTGATCGCTTCAATTGTTGGATGAGAAACTTCAACATTCAGTGGTATCTGAAAGAAGGAGGAGACCTCGGAGAGTGTCAATGATCGTAATGCACGTGCAGATAATGGGGATGATGTTATGTGAATGGACATAACTCCATAACGAATCGTATTAAAAGCACCCTGAGATAATCACAAATATGTTAAGTAAAAGAATAAAAAGGAAATCTTTATGAATGATACGATGAGACTAAGCTTACCCTGCCACATTCTTCGTGCAATTCTTTACGAAATCCACTTCCAAAATTCAATAAACTGATTAATCCTATAATGTTTAATTCTTGCTCTAAATTATCGAATTTTAGCGGCATCTAATAATTATAAAGCTCATAAGGTTCTTACTGTTATCAATACATAAATCAAATGTTTGTATTTGATTTTACCTGTAATCCATCGCTCTTTGAAAGTTCTTGAAAATGACTAGGATCAATGTTTTGAATAAAATCTGTTATCGCGTCTTCATTTATCTATCAAATTATAGAAAATTTTATATGATCTCTTTTTGGCCTGTTTCAAAACTCAAAGAATGATATATACTTGAATGTGACTTCGTTCTCGACAGTTACGACAAGAGGTTCGTACTGCTTGAACGAAGTTATCTTGGGGAAAAGGAATCGGTTCGTTAATTGCACTTGTGTTTATAATATTCGACATTATAATAGGTATCGGGGTCAAAAAAAAAAAAAAAAAATTAAATTAAATAAATAATTGTATTGATTAGGTGCAGATGCATATAAAATCAAAAAAAAAAAAAATCGATCTTATCACAAAATTTTCATCATATTTGGAAAAATGAATATATTTACCGGAGATGAAAGTGGACTTGTTAAATGTATTCAAATTTATTACATATTTACCGAAATTAGCAGAGATAAAATTATCAATTAATACATTTCTTCTTTAGCAATTACAATTTCAAAAAACTTAAAAGAGAATGCTGCTGCTTCTCCTATTGTAAAAACCTGGGGAAAAATCGATCGAAGTAAAAGCATACAATTAATGCATTATACCAGAGATAATAAGAAGGTATTATTGAATTTCTAGTGTAAATTAATAATCATCATCGATGCATTACATATTTTTTTTAATTGCAAAATTTAGTTAATAGTCGCACGAAAAAATGGACAAATTAGCATTTTGGATCCAAACGAAGATGGTAAATCATGTCAAGAATTCTCCGAACCTTTCGTTACTGGAGAACAAAAAACAAGTGCACGATTCGTGGGTTTATTTGCAAATAACAGGTAAAGGTTTATTAGTATTATACATTATTATTATATTTCTGTGATAAATGACTAATTCATTTTAACGATAAATATTTTAGCACATTAGTAACGTGTACTGATCAGGGTATGGTCCAATATCGATCTATTTTAGAAGATAAAGTATGAATGTCTTTCTATCATTGACGCGAAGTTAATCTTTTAAAGAGCGTATTTTTAATTTATTAAATCAGTCATCTACCATAGAAACAACCCTCACACTTGTACCGGACTTGTGCCGTTTAAGAGTACATCCAAAAGAGCATCATATATTTGCTTGTGGTGGAAAGGAACGTGAATTGTCGGTGTGGGATGTAAATGCTTACAAAGAAGGAAATTGTCTTATGAAATCTCAAAAAAAAAAAGAGTCAAAACCAGGATTGGTTTGGATGTCAAAAAACGTTAGTCATGACTTTTTGGATTTACGCGTTCCAGTATGGATTACCGATTTACAATTTCTCAGCGAGCAAGAAACCACGAAACTTGTAGTTGGCACAAAATATAATCAAGTATGAAATTTTTTTTCTTAATTGTTTCTTTCATCATGAGAAATCAAAAGAATTTTTGACATTGAGTTTTTCTCATTTGTATAGATTCGAATATATGATACAAAAGCGAAGCGTCGACCTGTATCTGATTTTAACATCGGACATAATCCAGTTGTATCATTAATCGTTGGCCGCAATTCAAAGTATATACTTGAAAATATTTTATTCACATCATTTTTTTTCTTATATTTTCTGATTAATTTATTTGATAATTCTTTAGTGAAATAATTTTCACAGATACGGTTTGCAATGTTTGCTCAATGGATGTAAGAACAGGTACTTACGAAATGTAACTTGTCTGTTTCTTATATTATTTACGAATATTAATCTAGTAATTTATTTGTAGGCAAAATTTTAGGACAACTTAAAGGTTAGGAAGGGTTAGGGAAAGGAATTTACATTATGTTAAATGTTGGTCTTGACATTCGTGATTTGTCATATCACATTTATTATAGGTTTTTCCGGTTCAGTGACAAACTTGGCAGTTGCTACCGAATCTTCATTATTAGTCTCAGTTGCGATGGACCGATTTTTGCGTATACATGAAATTGGCGCGTCGCGTGAACTTGTAAAAAAAATATATTTAAAACAACGGCTCACTAGTGTGGTGGTTGATGAGTCAGAAGGTAAAATTTGACACGTGTTTTCTTGAAATTCAAATTTCTCTATACTTATATTATATATCTTACAATAGATGGAATCCTTGGATACAGTAAAAAAGAAGCCGAAAAAGACGATTCAGAAGAAGAGAAATTTTGGGAAGGTATAGAAGAAGTTAAACCAAAGAAGAGAAAAACCAAACACTAACTTTTACAATCATTATATTTAAATAATATGCGATATTTAACGCGTCTTAAATTACTTTACCGCTGATAGATCAGCTTATCACGTTGATAAAATTTATTCAATCTTATCAAAATCCTTTCTTTGCCAACCATTCCTTTACCATAAAGCCATGTCGTCCCTTAATAATTACATGATTATTTGTATGATTGACTCTAACTAAGTTTTTCTCTTGAGACTCGTAGAAAAGCTCTTTTCGTATATCATTGCAAAGTTCCTATTTGAATATAATTATATTAAAATGCGCTTGCAATAAGGCATTGTATTAGATAAATCAAAAAGTTGAATGTTACCTCGACATCCCCTTCAACTCTACTTATCTCTGTCAATACACGCGTTCTTCCATTTTTAATGTCTACATAAACTGGTAATTCTTTCATTTGAGTTCGATTAACGAAATAAGGATACTGAACATATTTTATTACCGTCTGTTGCTGTTGTTGTTGTTGTTCAGGGTGTTGTAAATATCGCTGTTTCTTTGCCACATTTTGTCCAATTTTCGAAGTAGTTGTTGTTGTTGCTACTAATCGTTGTTTTAGATTCTTCATTTAACACAATCAAAAAAAAATAATAAAAATAAAAATTTTAAAAAAATTACTGTGGTTGAAGTTTGAGGACTTGGATGAACTTGAATTTGACTTTGAATGATTAGAACGAACGAAAATTGTTGGAACGAGACGGGAGGTTAGGCTTGTAGTTGAAAATTTCGACAAAACTTGCAACATTTTGTTTTAACAAAATCAGTTGATTATGTTTGTGTAATTTCGATTGCTCGGGCAGTTTTTTCAACTGCAATTCGAGTTGCACAAATTTTAGTATTAAAATAATCACCTCGTGTTTTTCAACCTTTGAAACTTCTAGTTGGTGAATTTGACTTCGGAGCTATAAATCATGGACATCGTAAAAGCAGTGCAAAACTATATTAACAAGATGGTCAATGAAGTACCGGGTATAAAGGTGCTGCTACTTGATGCGGAGACGGTTTGTGTTAAAACTCGAGCCTTATTTCACAAACTATCAGTTACTTTTTGAACTTTGTAATAAATAAACCCCAATGTCTTATTAGACTCCGATTATTTCGAACGTAATGACTCAATCTAGCCTTTTATCACATGAAACTTATTTGGTCGATCGAATTGATAATCGAAATCGCGATAGAATGCGACACCTTAAATGCATTTGTTTTCTACGCCCTACCAATGAGACCATACAGTTGTTGGTTGAAGAACTTAGAGATCCCAGCTATGGAGATTATTACTTATGTAAGTTTAATGATGATTTATCCATTTAGAATTAAAGTTGCTGGTGTAAAGTATTAGAAAGGTTACCCTTGAAGTATTGGCGCGACCAGAATGGATGCAATTCTTATTTGCAGCCGACCACTTTATTTGAGAGTTATTATATATTTATTATTTCTATATTAGACTTTAGTAATACATTGAAACCGTCGTTAATCGAAAGATTGGCTGAGGTGGACGAACACGAAGTTGTTCGCGAAGTGCAGGTATCATCTAATTTTTAGAACCTCAAATTTTGTTTTATCCACGCTTTCTAAGCGGTTACTAACGGTAAACAAACAAATATTATATTTTTTTAGGAATATTTCGCAGATTATTGTGCGATCAATCCTGATTTTTTTTCTTTGAATCTTTCTTTACAACAGCATAGACTTTATGATGACTCACAAAATACATGGGATCATAAAACGTTTCGTCGAGTCGTTGAAGGTGTACTTGCCGTTTTACTTTCATTAAAGAAAAAACCTTTGATACGTTATGAGAAGATGAGTGTCATGGCAAAGCAACTCGCAACAGAAGTTCTTGTATGACCTATATTTTAACCCTCTGTTGAAATATTTAATAACTTGCGTGAAATTTGGACCTTACACATTATCTTTGTATTTATAGTACAATATTCAGAGTGAAGGACAACTATTTGATTTTCGTCGAACGGATACTCCACCGATATTACTTATATTAGATCGTCGGAACGATCCAGTCACTCCTTTGTTATCACAATGGACTTACCAAGCGATGGTCCATGAATTACTTGGCATCCATAACGGTCGCGTGGATTTATCGGATGTTCCTGATATACGTCCGGAATTGAAGGTTTGTATGTATGCTAAAAGTTTTTTTTTTTTTTTTTGTCCGAATTTGATATATCTTGAAAAAATAAATAAACCTTTATACTTTTCTTAAAAGGAAATCGTACTTTCTAGAGATCAAGATCCATTTTATAAGAAAAATATGTACTTGAATCTTGGAGATCTGGGTGCTAATATCAAATCACACGTTGAGGAGTATCAGGCCAAAACTAAATCGAGTATGAATATAGAGTCTATCGGCGACATGAAGCGATTTTTAGAAGGATATCCTGAATTCAGAAAATTATCTGGTAACGTGGGCAAGCATGTAGCTTTGGTTAGCGAATTAAGTCGTCTGGTGGAAAAGGAAAATCTATTAGAAGTTAGTGAATTGGAGCAGAGTCTGGCTTGTTATGAGCAGCACAATAACGATTTAAAGGTCGAGATCATTTCACATTTCGTTTATTCTTATGAAATTTGTATCATTGAATTTAAAGCTTAATAATTCAATTTACAGAGTTTGCAAAAGCTTATAGCGAATCCTAAAGTATCAGATGATAGTAAGATTCGACTAACTTTATTATATTCCTTGCGATACGAAAAATCACCAAATAATGACATCTTCTCATTAATTGATCTGTTACGACATCATGGTGTTAGCGAGCATAAGATTTCCGTATGTATCTAATGTTGGATTTTTTTTTTTTTTTTTTAAAAAAAAATTTAAAACTTTTTTCATATGAATTAGTTGATTGGATCAATGTTAACATTTGCTGGATCTGATCAAAGACAGGATGATTTATTCTCGAATGAGAGTTTATTGTCTAAAGGACGAAATGTTTTTAAAGGGTTGAAGGTAATATTGTATAAAATTTCCATGATAAATTTATATTGTATTATCATCATATAACTCGTGTATTATATTAGGGAGTTGAGAATGTATATACACAACATTCTCCACATCTTTCGCAGACGCTTGAATTTTTAATTAAAGGCAAATTGAAAGAAACTAGCTACCCATTTATTGATGGGTCGACCAAAGACAGGTAATTTTTTAGCGAACCTTTCAATTTAATAATTTTTTTGGGGAATAATGTTTTCATTCCCTATCTTTAGGCCACAAGATATTATCATACTTATGGTTGGGGGAGTTACTTATGAAGAAGCTCGATATATCGCTCAATTAAATGAATCAACTTCTGGAGTTCGTATTGTATTAGGTGGAACTACAGTACACAATAGTAATAGGTATGTTTAATAAGTTTATCTTCACCTTTGTTACTTAATTAGATTATTTGTTGCTAAAATTCTTTTATGATATTTGATGGTATTGAACAGTTTCTTGAATGAAATTCAAGATGCATTTTACAGATTCCCTTCAGATGGTACAGGTACTAAGACACCGAAATTTGGTAAATCGTAATGGATCTTTGGAAAAAATTATTTTAGACATTAATATTTGTATATTATATATTTATGTTAGTATTAATGATATATATATTAATTTTTATAACCAAAATTATGAGAGAAATATTGGTTATAAATATTTTATTTAAATGTGAAACAAAAAAAGAATGAATAATAATAAAAATATTTCTATCTAATTTACATATTTTGCTTCAATTTGTTGATCTGATGAATTTATAATATTCGGAACAAAACTTGGATCGAGTTTACATATAATATTTTTCAAAGATTTTAAATCTCTTTCAATTACCTTGATATTATCTCTCGATTCCTTTGTTTTTTTTTTTTTTAAAAAAAAAAAAAAAAAAAATTAGAAATTGAAAGAGTAAACAAATAAAACAAATTACAAATTACAACCTCAATTGATTTTTGAATTTTTGACAAACTATCAGAGGTTTGCGTTAGAGCATGGGATACATGAATTAATTGTCCATTTGAATTATCAAATAATCCTTGTCGTAATTTTTGACTTGATTTGTCTATTTTTTTTTTTTTTTTAAAAAAAACATAATTAATAAATAAAAATTCGGAGTTTTTTTTTAAAAAAATCATGAAAACATAAACATACTTAATTCTTTTTGAAGTGTTCTAAATTATTTTTTTCTTTGAGTAATTATATAATAATATAATAATTTTCATAATAGATATTAGGTAAGAACTTACAGATTAGGTTTAGAAGTCATTTCCAAGAAAGAAAACTTTTTTTTTTTTTTGAAGGTAGTTTTATGGGGAGGGGGTTGCTGTTAAAAGTGCGATAAAAAGCGTTTTTATTTTACCGACCGATAACTGCGCAGCATTCCTTTATATACGCGTTTATGATAATTTTCTTGTCTTACTTCAAAATACAAGTCTAGATTTGATCGGGAAAGTCATCAGCCAATCATTTGATTTCTATTCAAATATAGAAGTTGAATGAAATTTTTTTTCTTTTTCAAATTCCAATAGAAAATGTCAACAACAATACCTACCTTTAAATGCGTTCTTCTTGATATTGAAGGAACAACTACACCAATTTCATTTGTTCACGAACGTTTATTTCCATATGTTACAAATAATTTGGAAAATTTCTTGAATGAAAATTGGAATTCACCAGAATTACAACAAAAGGTTCAATTATTAAGGGAACAAGCAATCAAAGATGTAAATAATAATTTACCTGATGCGATTCTAATCCCGGAATCAAATGAAATGGATGAAATTAAACATTTCATTATACAAAATATTAAATGGCAAATGGAGATTGATCGAAAGATAGGATCTCTTAAATCATTTCAAGGATTTATGTGGGAATCAGGTTTTGAATTAGGGGAATTAAAAGGAGAAATATTTGAAGATGTATTGGAAGCTTTTAAAAGGTGGAAAGGAGAGTTTGAAATTCAAATTTTTATTTATTCATCTGGTAGTATAAATGCACAAAAGTTAATATTTAAGAATTCGGATAAAGGTGATTTATTAGGTTACATTGATGGTTATTTTGATACTTCCATTGGTTCAAAACTTGAAAAATCTAGTTATATAAATATCGCTAAAGAAATTCAAATTGAACCTAATGAAATTTTGTTTCTTAGTGATAATGTTAAGGAAATTATTGCCGCTAGATCTGCTGGTTATCAAACAGCTATTATTGAACGTGAAGGTAACGCTCCTTTATCCGATGATGATCGTAAAAATAATATTATTCTCTCGGATTTTCTTCAAATATTTTCTCATGCTTCTTTTCAAAAATCTTCGTGAGAGACAATAAAACATCAGCGTGAATTTGTCCAAGTCACATGTAATCCCATAATTTCATCAATTCACAATTATCACATGATTACCAAAAAAATC